GAAAATGCAGCGACAATGGACGATGAGACATCAGTGCGCCCCCCACTGCGCCCCATACCGATGCCCTCGCCATGCCTATCCGGGTCCGGTGCTTGCTTACGCTTAGGTGTCGAGTCTGGACGGAGAGTCTTAGTCAAGTCTCGTGTATTCTTGGCCTTGGCTCGCAGCCGCTCGGCACGCGGGTGCGGTGCAGGCGCCAAGGAGAGATGCCTTCGGTACCGAGAATAACCTAACAACACTCCGAACAATCCGATTAGAGTCAAAGTCAAATGCATGGATATGGTTTTCTAATGACGCCGCGCTCCCACTGTCAGAGGATTCCGGCGATGTTGAAGACGATGATGGGGTGGTGGTGGTGGTGGTGGTGGTGTGGTGATGAGGGTTTACTATAGCTACACTTTTGATACACGGGGTGGTCTCGACGCTGTCGATTATTATACTGATTATTGGGGGATGGACTTCTGAACTGCACTCGTTTCAATTCAAGGATGAAAGCTTAATACGGCTTGCCCTCGTACTGCGCGAGGCGGCGCTTGAGCTCGATAAGCTCGCGCTTGAGCTTGAGGTTCTCCTCGTGGGCGAGCTTGATCTCGAGATCCTTCGAGTTGAGGGTCGACTCGAGCGAGTCCAGGTGCTCCTTGCGCTTGGCGCGGAAGGTGCGGGCCGAGATGCGGTTGCGGACGCGCTTGCGCTCGCGCGCAGGCAGAGCGCGGTAGTCCTCGACCTTCATACCCCAGATCATGCCGTCGCGCTCGACACCCTCGTCGTGCTCGTGCTCGTGGTTCGATGACTCGGCAGAGTGGTGGCTCCGCGCATCGGCGTCCTCGGCCTCTCCATCCTCTGTCTTCGGAGGCGAGACGAGGCTGTCGACAAGGTCGATCGAGAGCTTGGCCTGCGGTTGCGGGTGGGCGGAGGGCTGGGCGGGCGCGGCAGTAGGAGAGCCACCAACGGTCGGCGCGAGCAGAGACGGCGCGATAGAGCCAGACTGCTGGTTGTAGTAGTAGTTGTAGTTTGACGGGCCGGCCTGGTTGTTCATGTTCTGCAGCTGCGCGTTCCACTGCTGGAACAGCTCGTTGTTGGCGGGTCCCTCAGAGCCCTGCTGCTGAGCAGCGGCCTGAGCAGCCTGACCGACATTGGCGAGCCAGTCGGCAGGAAGGCTCGGGAGCACGTTCTGGTATAGGTAGTTACCCCATGAGGGAGCAATGGTTTGCTATGCATTAGCGAGGGTCCTTGCGTGTTGTTGTTGTGTATGCATGAGTGGTGGCCGAAGGGCGCCGGTGTCTGCCCAGCGGTGGCGACCGGCGGTGCCGGGGGTACACCCGGCGGCCGAGGTGGCCGAGGGCCGGGGGTTTGGGGTGCCACAGTGGAGGGATGGTGGTAGAGGGGTTGGTTGTATGAAGGTACTCACGAAAAGGTTGGCCTTGTCGACGGAGCCCTGGTCGAAGAGGGTCGGGGGAGCGGTAGCGGAGAGAGCTTCCATGGTGATGAGCAGATGTGGTGGAAGTAGGGAGGGGGAGGTGTGCAGAGGTATGAAGATATATATGAATCGCGGGGATCAAGATCGATGCACAAGGGCAGAGGAATGGACAGGGATAGCCCGATGCCGACGGCCGAGGGTGTTTGACGTCCAGGTGCCTCGAGCCTCTGAGTCAGAGGTATGTGGATCGGGTCTTGCGAACTCCAAGCTGAGGGTTGGCGCCGTTCGTTTGTAATCCGCTTTGCTCGCCCGAGCCGGCGGTTGTGTTGCTAGTTGCGCGCTAAAGTTGCTCTCGTACGGTAGACTGAACAAGCCAGAACCGTGTCTCGATGGTTATCGTGAACGGCTATGGAAATCCGAGTCCCGTTGGCGTGGGTGCGCTGCCCTGATGTACTGAACAGGGGAGGCTGGGGAGATGATTGCAATCAATGCAATCTCGGTAGACGCGAGGGAGGAAGGGTCGTTGTCGAGCGATGGGTTGGGTTGTCGCCGGTGAGTGGAGTGGGTAGTGGTGGCTTTGGTGGCAGTGACGGTCGCTATGTGGAGCAAGTGGTTTGTTGTTGTTGCAGTAGGGGTAAGGTACTGGAACGTTGTGCTGGGTAGCAAGAGCAACGAGTCTAGACCAAGATATGGGTAGTAGTAGATGGGTGGTGTACGGTAGGGGGGGTGTAAGCTGGTATGGCTGGGAGGGGGTGGGTGAGGAGGAGGTGGGGTTGACTTTATACTGCTGATGAGATGAGCAGAGGTGGTGTGGTTCAGTGTGGTGGTGTGGATGAGATAACCAGCGTGTGGGTGATCAGGATTTAGGAACTAGGACCGAAGGTAGGACTCCAGGAAAAACACCTAAGCACGAGACGGGCC